GGTCTATGTGGCATTGCAATAACAATTGCAAAATTTGCAAGTGTCAGATAATATTATGATGAGGTGGCCATTTGCAATTCATTTTGAAAGGGTTTTGCAAACCCTGTGTGGATGGCCTTAATCGTATCAATCAAGTAGCCGGTGCCAAACTTCCGCGGCTCGGCTCCTATAAACACGCGTCCTGTCCCTCTCATCTCTTCTGCTCAAACCACGGGCTTCTATCAAACTACGTTTTTAGTCCTTATGTTTAGTTAAATATTATAACTTTAGTCCTTGTACTTTCAATATCACGGTTTTCATCCCTATGGTTCACATTTGCAAATTCATTGAACTTTTCGTGTTTAAGACTAATTTTGCCGGTAGTTTACCATTAAATATTTCGCCGGTACTTTTCGTGTATCCGCTTGATACCTAGGTTGGGAACTACTCTATTCAACATGTATCCTAGCAGAGCACTTCGTTAATGCAGATCGACACCCAGATGGCTAAACAACTGCCAAAGAAACCCAAAAGGCTGAGACATACTTGAGTATGATGAGATACTCCTAGGCCCAACATGTCTGCTCAACAACTCCTAAAGCCACAATAGGAGGTCGACGAACATGGTACAAGATTAGGAACCCCTACCATTTGGTGGTCTCGCTATTTACTTGAAGATCTTGGTCTATGTATAAGTAAATACCCTTATGCTTGTTCTAAAAATTGTCTATGTCAATAAGTCTTCCCACCAGTTAAACTTATTATAGATAGGTCTTGTAGCTATAAATTTGATTTTTACCTTAACATACGAAGTGCTCAAAATCTAAATATGCTATCAAACTAATTTATGTATGCTTTTTTATTTTATAACAAAAATAAAACAAAGGGGATGCTATTGACACCCCTAACGTACCCCTTTTTATTCGTACCACTCACGTTTCATACCCTTTTATTCACGTCACTCACCTTTCATATCTCATCTTCACTCACTTACCGCTCTTATAAGAGAGGTATGAATAAAACTGGCTTAAAAAATATATAATGCATGGGTAAATTTTCATCTATGTGGTTTGTAGAGAATTGCTATGTTATCGTTATGGTTTTGAAATGGAAACGGAGAAAGGTTAGTTAGACTGGGGGGGGGGGGGGGGGGAAGAAGTTTCTATGCTTTCACCGATAATCACAGCCAACCAACTACATCCTGAAACCACATCTGGAAGGAACGACTTAAAAGGTTCAGGTTTCAAGTAAATACAGATTAAGATCGTAAAAACCTCCTTCATTCATATGATTTATAATTTATTATTGTTTTTGTTCTTGTGATTTAAAATTTATTGCTATTTTTGTCTCTATGATTTACAATAAATTATTATTTTAGTTCCTCATAATTAAAGGCAGGTGTTCAGCTAAAGACGAAAATAATAATAAATCACAAACCATAAAAATAAAAACCGTAATTAAAAAAAATCCATATTTTTTACAAACCACGTGGACAAAAAACGTGATTTAGGGGCTGTTTGGCAATTTGCTGAATGGTTTGGTGCAGAATGATTAAGTGGTCAGAATGATTAAAAGTTTCTCATGATATAATACAAAATGAAATATAATTGTTTGATAATTGTGTATAATGATATTAGGGCTCTTAATGGTTAAGGGAGATCCAAGAGACAAAATCATTCATAGGGTTTTAGAACCATTAAAAAACAGATTTTTTTTTACCTAAGAAGATTCACCTCTTAATAATTCAAAGGTTACCTCTTAATGAAATTATTAAGAGGTAAACAAACAACCTTTTACTCATCAGACATAATTGCACTTATGGGTTTTACTCATTATTTGAAATAAATAACTTTCAAAATAAAATATTAAATCTATTTATAATATTTTATTACTAAAAACAGTAATATATTTCGGATTTCTTATTTCTAATAAAACATAATTTAGAGATGTAATCATCATCTCCATTACGACAACTAAATATTTGTGGTTGGAAAGTGCGGCATTTGATTCTACAAAATAATTGAAATGTCGATCAATAATTAAATAAATAGAATATTCTTAAATTTGAAAGAGAGGAAAATGATTTAATATATTTCCATTAAAATAAAGATATTTTTATATATAATATAAATTGCTAATTTTATAAAATTGGTATTATAATATTTAATAATTACATTCATTCAGATTTTTATAGCTTATGTATACTAAAAATACATCAAATCTAGTGGAGTCATTAATATTAAAAAATCTAAACTCTAAACATTAAAAAAAAAACACTAAATTTGTGTACTCTATATCAAAGTAACATATTTTATTTAATATTAAATTATTTTTAATAACAATAATTATAATTTATAATAATAAATTAGTAATTAATTTTTTTAAAGAAGAGTTGTTAAAATAAAAACAGTAAATTATTGATTAATAAGTTTTCATTACAAATAATCAATTAATTTACATGATAAATACCAAAAACAAAAAAAAATTAAAAAATAAACATTGTTCTCATTTATAATTTAAGAGCTGTCCTTTAACGTGTTAAATGTGAGATCTTGAACAGGGTCTTGAAATTTTGGGGTCCAAATTTACATGTATTTAGAGTCTTTTATCGACCTGTGTAAAACTATAGTCGAAGTTATTTAGGTTCAAACCATTAATTATTTGGTTTTAGGTTCAAATCATTAATGGTTTAGGTTCAGTTTCAAATTGTTGATTGTTTTAAGTTTAACCTATTTTTTGTTCTTAACATAATCTCATTTATGCAATATAATCAAAAGTTTTGGATGTAGCAGGACCTCCAAAAAGAATGGAACGTCCCTGATAATTTTATTATGTATGTATATATATGTGTGTGTGTGTGTGTACGTAAATTTATATAGATGTAAAAGAGAAATCAAATAGAATGACTTGGCACTATGAGATTTGAGTTCTTCTTTAAATCTTGAAATATGGTTAAGCTATTCTAGATTGGTGGGAAGAAAGAAAGTAAAATGAATGAACTGTGTGTGTGTATATATATATATATATATATATATATATGAAAAGAGGGGGTGAATTTTTGTTGCAAGTCATGTTGTTGACTCAAACTTTCGTTTGCAATTGTCATTATGAGATTTGAATATTTTTCTTAAATCTTGAAATGTGGTTAAGTATATCTATCTCATATAAAATATAACTTTAAAATATTGAGATGTTATCTTGAGAGTGATGTATTTTAAAATCTTGCATTGTGGTTGATTTTTGAAAGTCCCACATTCATAAAAAAAAATTGATACATTAATAGAGTGTGATAAATATATATAAAAATAAGCAAGTGATGCTTTCGAAAATTAAAAGAGTCATGTAACTATGCAAGCCATTCTTTGGTCTTTAATTTTGGAGTAATAATTTTTTATTATGAAGGAACCTCCTGGCTGTCTCTGCACCCCCACCTCCTTTATCACCGAGCAGTCATTTAGGGGCCTTAGTAATAAGAAGGAAAGTTGAGGTTACACTATATATAAATTTGAGCATTCTCAAAGTCTTGAATTGTAGTGTTGTTTAGTTTTTCTACGTTGATAAGAAGATAATATATTGACAAAACAAAGTTGGTATAAGAAAGAAGGATAGATGTTTTTCTGCAACACATAGAGTTGTGTCAATATAAACAAAATAGTTATTTTTGATATAATGGTTATTTTTTTCGTTAGTGTCAACGTAAACGATATAGGATAAATAATCAACATAAATAATAATAATAATAATAATAAACTTAGTACCAAAAAAATTAGGAATTAAGTACTTTAAAATCTTGCATCGTAAAAGAGTCATGTCTTTATGTAAAGCCATTTTTTACTTCAATTTTTGGAGTAACAGTTATTTTTTTTTTATTATAAAAACTCTCTCATTTGTGTTAGTATAAACAAAATAAGAATTTTTTTTATGAAGGTTAATAAATCAATCAACATATCTACAATATATAAATTTGTAAAAAGTACATGATATATGTATGAGGTGGAATTGTACCATTTGAGTATTTTATGAAACTTTCAGCCACATGGATAGTTCAATGTATTCATCGACGTCTGACCTTAATAGAGGATAATATATCGTAATAAATAGATATGAGTATATTGGATAATATTTCTTTTACAACAAGATTTATCTATATAAAAATTAAAGAGAAAAAGAAATTATTAAAAAAACAACCAATGATGAGAAGACGATTTCATTGGATTTGAATAATTTTGCAAATCTAGAATTTTGTGAAAAAATACTTGTATAAAACTAGAGGAGTACTCACGCAATACAACAAAGACACATTTCAATTTTAATGTTCTATTTTATTATTTATCTCTATTGATGTTATAATACGATTTTATGTGTTTTTAAGAAAATCATAATGATTTTATTTTTGAATAAGATATAAATTTGAAGATATCATAAAAATTTGAAAAAAAATATATCAATGTTAATATCAAATCAACAATTTAAAAGTTCTCATTTTCTTTTATGTAATTTCTTTAATTTATTTTTTAAATTATGATTTAATTTAATTTTAATAACGAAATAATTTATTTTTGGTTTAATAATATAACATTTTATAAAGATAATAATTAAACAAATATCATGTTAGAACTTAATGATTATCCTAATTATATTATAGATTTTTTATATTTAAAATTAGATGTTTATTCTATATTTGATTATGTTTATCTGCAGTTAGTTACACGAATTCAGATATAGAGCTTTAATAAGTTATACTTACGTACAATCTACTTGCAATCTTGAGTTTTAAGTAACATGCATTAATAGACAGTAATTTACGTAAAAATGGTTTTTAAGAATTTTTATCAAATGATTTATAAATAGTATAGATACTACTTTAAAAAGAGAAATCATTGAAAAACATATATCAAGTCATGTATCATAAATTTAAAAAACTACATTTGAAAACACACATTTATCATACCATACTAACATGTGCAAAAGCAAACATTTCCCCAAACACACTGAGCCTCACTTCAAAACCACAATCATACAAACATGAACAACTTCGATACTTCGAACCCGAAACCAGCATGGACAACAGACTACAGCCTACCGATACGTATATCAGTATCAGTATCGGTATCAATAGCAGTAGCACGAGCACATAGAACACGTGAAACACGAACGCTTGACTCATAACTTGAGCCAATCTAAGCAAGGGCAAAGCCCCCAGCAAAACCTAGAAGGATAGTAATCCTTAAGGTACACTTCTCGGCTAAAACCAATGATGTAGAAACTGAAGGTCTGGCCACGATGAACCATCGTGACACGTGTAACAGGGATCACAGAGATCGTATGCCTCTCACATATCACTCGAGCACTAGGAGGTATAGGAGGTCTTTCGGAAATTACCTCCGACGAGAACTGGTTGAGAAAGAAGGAATCGGCAAAGAAAGCTGGGGTGCAATGATAGGCCTGAGTGTTGCATAACTGAATCCCTTTGGCTCTGTGGAACACATCATCAGGAACCGAGGCTGCTCCACTTGTCGCATTTAGTTTTCGGGCACCATGTGTATCCCTGCAAACACCATCATATTATGTTCGATGTTTGATATAAATTCTTCACCTTTTAAAATAAACTTGGATTCAATTGTCATCTCTGTTAAAAGATGAAATAATTCGATAATTTGTATCGAGTTTGAAGATGAAAAGAAGTCCACCCAGTTTTGGAAGTCAAGTTTTTCTTGAATATGCTTAAATTTGTGATGGAACCATAAGTATGCATACCATCTAACAACAGCTATTTTGCGTGTCAAAAGAGAACCACTGCCTTGACATTTAGGGCATTTAACTAGCCCACGAGATCCACAAGTCGCACAAGGTATCTTGCCTTTGCCATTACATTTCACACATCTGCACAAAGGTAAAAAGCTCACGGTTGGTGGTTTGCTAATTTAGTAGACGTAGAAAGTACAAACCGCTATTAGCAACTTATGCATAAATGGTAAAAGGGGAACATGTAAACTGGCTTACAATGTGTCAGATCCATCTTTATGAGCAATTAGACCCCTCCCATAACAGGCAGCACAAGGAGACATCTGATTTTCTTTATGAAATCCAGGATCTTGATCTGCATTGCATTCAGCACAAAAAATATCTCCTCTTCCTGCACAATCTGCCATCCAACCAAGATTCAGTCAGGAATCCAACAATGGCTTAATACAAAGCCACATTACTAGTTTTCTTTTCTTTTTTGGAAAAGGACTACTTTCAATTTTGGGATGTCTATAGAGGAATGCCATCGTTGTTTTGACAATAATATCGTGTTCATGTTCATTAAGGACATTCAATAATCTTTAGGCCATTACCTGGGCATTTCTCGACAGATTCAGAATGGGGAACTTTGGCACGAGATTCTTTGTGAGGAGTAAATAGAACTGGGAAGTCTGACTTCAAATCTAATTCCCAAACGCCAAGTTCAGTCCCCTTCTCTTTTCCATCAATATTGCCACCACGGTATGGTTCTGTTTCGGTTATCACTTCCCTTTCTTCCACAAAAGTTTCAAGAGTCCCAACATAGACATTGCAGTCTTCAACAGAATGGATCTTCCATGTGCGAGCAGGACGACTTCCCCAACAGCAACGGTGACCAACATGATCAATGAGTAACTCCCGTATCTCAACCTCATCCAATATTTGCCTGTACAGATATATCATAATATTATGTTAAGCCATATGAATTGAGGATCAAATCGTACAAATTGGTCTTCAAGATGGGATAGGACTAGGTCCCGTGTAGATAATCATCTTGGTAGAGAATCTAATATTCTAATTCATTAAACCTATTTGTAGATTCCCCACACAAGTATAGCAACTCTGATCATGAATGCTCTCCTCCATATCGGCAGTAAACAAATAATATGACTGCATCTTAAAATTTTGACTGATGTTAAAAGAACGTAAAAGGTTGTTCACTGGATTTTTCATGGTTATTGGCACATCTCATAGATCATGAAGAATGGTTTTGGATGGATGATGTCAAGTGGTGAGGTTTCCAGTGTGGAAACTGAAAGGTAATGCTCAAATTTGATGGGATATGCCTCATTTACATATAAACAGAACATAACGCAACACAAAACAATGAATGACCGATACAGCAACCAAACTAAAAAGAAGTAAAGAAGACAAAGCAATTTTGATGGGAAATCGTATTTCTGTGAAAATTTTGGTGACAATTCTACGATCTATTTCCTGAAGACCATATTTTGAACAACAGACAAGCACATTATTGTGACTGTCCATACCACGTCAGCAAGAAAAATGTGGGCTAAAGAGTATACCTATGAGCTTGATTTTCAGTTTTACCAAATTGTCCTCCATATTCAGCCTCGTATGGAAAAGCTTGCTCTGCAACAGAAAATGAATGACTTTATACGCGCATGTTAACAAAAAACATAATACTCCTTGGTATTTAACCAACGTTTACATAATAAAATTTCTGTAGCAGCTCTGATTGAAATCTTGTGTTGACATGATTAGATTTTGATTAGGAAGATCATCTAACTTCATTCTTATGTTCCAACATATAAAAACTTTTCAGCTTTTGTAACGTTTGAAATCAAATGGACAAAACGAATTTGGGACATAAGTGCTTGTAGATATTTACTAGAAAGACAAGTACTAAACAAGATTACTAGTTGAATAACCCAAATTTTGATTTTGATTATTTGACAAACCCACTATCCTCCAATTACATACAAACCCTTATCATCATTTAAATGGCTTATGTAGCATTTTTTTTCTAAGAAACAAGTCAAGGGGATAACTATGTTGTAATCTTAGTTAGACAAAAAAAAATGACTATAATAAAATAATCAACAAGAATGATGCGGTTCATCATATTGGCATATTCAGTTTAGTGGTTCATCTTTAGGAGAAATAACCAGAAATAATATCATCAATATATAAATACCCTTCAATTTAGATAAGAGAACATGGTTTTCTAAATGAACTTCTTGATTACAAGTAAATGCGATTTTTTTTAATATGGTACTCGGAGAAAGATGGAAATAGGAATGAGGTGGGTGTTATAATAAGTAATAGCACGAGAATGACTAGGTTGATATATGAAATACAAGGGGAGTCCCCACTAAATTGTCCTAGCAGAAAGGGGTTAGGGTTTCCACAACAAGGTCTCGGTTTCAAAATACGCCCCACCCACCCTGTCTTTAGACACCACGATTTACCTCTCCCAAGATGGCCGTCAGACCGTTGGGATCTCTGGAGGGTAACTCGAACCCTTTTTCCAAAAAATACAAGAGGAAATTGACGAGGGGGTCGTGTGTTCTGAGGTAGGCATGTATATGGATCTACCAAAGACAGCCTTTGGCCCCTGGTTGGTCTTGAACAAAGTTGTTCAAGCACTACCAAATAGAAGAGATCCTTTTTGAAGAGGTGAGTTCAATGATCAAGTTAGCAAATATAGTAGAGGTTTTGACATGATTAACAGAGATTTCGGGTATGCTAGCAAGAATCAAGAATGATAAGAAACCTTAAAATTTTGCAATGTCCTATAATTAGATGGTTATAAATATTTTCAAAGATGATGTGCTTCTTGCCTAGTAACTTTTGGTAGCAGCTAAAACTCCAGTAGCAGATATACTTTACCCTTGCTATGAAAGAGGATAGATCTACATCGTAAAGCCACATATGGCTTGTGTATGCACATAACATAGGTTGGTAGCAATAAACATCTGTTTTAGGCAGAGTGTTAGATGGAGTAAGAATGTTAAACATACTGAAAGTAGGTGGTCAAGTCTAGATAAAGATAACTAAATATGTCTTTAAGAATCAAAAGTTTACAGGATATAGACATAGTTATGACAACATGCAATTGAGGGTAAAAACAAGGTCATCAGAGTAAGCAAAAAAAAACAGACAACAACATGAACTTGGTTATGGAACGATGGTGTACAAAAGGCTAATTAAGGGAAGGATGAATGCTATGAACTCTCACATGTGTGTAACTTGTAAGAGAGTAGTCTATACAAAAAAGTACATTCTGCTACAAATAAATAAGAGAAGTTGGAGTCAGACCATTAAGGACCTGTACAAAAGACTAGGAATTAAAGGAGGGTCACAAGTATCTATCCAAGTTCACTAAGATGAGGGAAAAGAAACCTAGGGATTTAAATCATATTAATACATCATAGAGGACACCTATAAACAATTCGTCAAGCATGTTGGGGTTAAAGAAAGGTATGATAAGTATGTGAGAATGTGAAAAATTTGAGGACTCTTTCGATGATTACATGAGTTTGAGTCACAAAATAGGCTCTTTTAAAAATCAAGTGAAAGATTACATACAAAGACTTCCCTCTGGCACTCGGAAAGATGAGGAGCCTTGATGCATTAGAGCTGATCTTTCTCGAATCATAGTAATATAAAGCTTGTGGTTGAATTACAGAACTTGAGGAAGGAATATTAAAATGATGAAAATGCATGAGAATTTTTTTTGTCTGTTAATGAAACTTAAGGATCCCTTGGGAATTTAGCCATAAGTTCAGTAGGATGTTCAATATTGATCTTAGATTAAACAAGGTTTTCCACTGGATGGGTGAAGTATAATCGTCAACTGCTAAAACAATGAGAAATTCAAGATTGTATTATTAATCATAAAATCAGCTTATGGGCCATACACTGAAGCTTCTAGACCACGGATTGAGTAAATGTTAGAAGGGGGTGAGACTAGGGTGTTGGAGAATCAACTTGATTTTATACATTCTTTGGAGAATCACTGAGTGACATAGAAGCCAAAAAAGTATTTTTTATATGATGCTCATTGATACAAAGAGAAGATCCAAATTAGAGTTAATGTGGTGAGCACAAGGAACAAGTTCATAAGATGTATATTGATGCACTTGTGTAAATGAATGACAGCATCATGATGCCTATAAAGATTAAAGACATGATATTGAGACAGACGTTTTCTTTATTACAATAAGACTAACTATATAGATCAGCATGAAGTGTGTCTCTATCTGGTTTGGTTATTGATTAGCTCGTGAAGAGCATACAACAAACATTCCATGGTTTATGCTTTTGTTCTATTATTTTGTTTTGGTTTAGGAGATTCCAAAAGATGTAAACTTGAGTTATGAAAAATATTTTGGAATGTACATGATTTAGATGAAACTGAACTACAACAAAGTACATTAAGCAATGCTACCAATGTTTAGGGAAGTGGAAGATGTGGAAGCATGTTTAGACATGAAGTAGAAGATGCTGATTCCTACTTCTTTTTCTAAACTGTAGCAAGTTATAATAAAAAGTTTCAAGAAAATGCTGATTTAAACCCATGTGGTTCTTAAAAGGTCTAAAAGTTCAAAATATATAAAGAAAGTGCACACCCATATTGATTATCTATATATAAGAGAATCCTGGTTCTACATAAAGGCCTTACATTTCAGACAAGCCTGCTTTCATCTAAATTCCAGTGAATCCATACTGAAATTTTATCCTAAATATTAGAAGTCTGACAAAGGAAAATGGGAATTTATAACTCAGAAAGAAGATTAGAGCAAAATTGAGCTGAAAGTGATAACAAACAAGTTCCTGATATCATGTTATAACGCATACCTATCTGTTGAGTAAAACAAACAAAAACAATTAATTCACAGCATATATATTCATCTGGAGCCATACGTGTACTGAAAATTGCATAAAAGTAGAAATCGATTGCGATCGATTGTACCAGTAATATAGGGAGGCGGCTCGGGAGAACTCATCAAGGGGGCGTGGAGAGAAGCAGGGTAACGATCAGAACCGGTGGCAGCCGATCGAATTTCGTCAACGCTGACTTGGGAAGCAGTTGGAATCATTGAGCCTGTTCGTCCCACCGACGGATAAGAATGCCATTTATCGCTTTCTCTATCCCCAATTTCAGCTTTTTCTGCAAATAAAACAAGGATTGGATGATGATATCAGAATTAAAAGTTAGTAATCGGAGCAGAAATTGAAGAAATCATCATACCAGTTAGCAGGGGTTGTTCCATTTTTATCAAACAAGCGATGGAGGAAAGGGAAGAGGCAGTGATGACTGAAGAAGGAGAGACGGTTTATGAGCAACAAAATTTCTTAGACAGCAAGGAAAATAATGAACGGCGATTTCCGTGCCATTTCGGAACGGTGGCTGCCAACGCCAAAAATAGAGAGAGAAAAAATACGAATTATTTTGTAAAAATGTCTTAAATACGACATTGAATTACAAATGAGTACAGAAATCTTGTAACTGTTTTTAGAACGGATTAATTTCTGATCAATGTTTGGTAAGATAAAATTGGATAGAACAGATAAGTAAAATGATTAATTTATCCGTAATGAGTTGTTTATTTTAATTAATTTATTAAGTTATAATAGAATAATTATTTTTTATAACAAAATATATCATTAAAAAGTTTTTGTCAAAACAATTAAAATGACAGCAAATAAAAAGTTTATGTAATTTTCAATTTTTATTTTTATATTTTTTTTGCATTGTTTTTTATTATTAATATATAATAAATTATATAAATTAATAAAAATATAGAAACCGTATAAAAAATAATATTTTGAGAACAGTAAAATAAAAATTTAAGAAACATAAAATACAATAAATAAAATTTAAAGAATGGATAAAATGTAAAAATTAGACCTATTTGATGTTTTAGAAAAGAATTAAGATTTATTTTGAGATTATATTGGTAAAATATAAGTCTGTTCCACCATGTTCCATGAGGTATGGGTGGAACATGCATGTTCTACTTTGTTCCACATAAAAGTCATGCCAACATGGAAAAGAGACTTCTGTCATGTCATGTCTTGTCCAGTGTACCAAACGCACCCTACTTGACTTGAGTCGGTGACTTCTAATGAGAATCCATAAGAAGTCAAGTCTTATTATCAGTTAACTAACCCCACAAGGTTAATGGGGATATAACTTTTAAAAGACTTGCGTTTTAAATTCTGTAAAACTAATTGATAAAAACATGTTTTCGTTTCTTTTATCCCTAATTGATAAACACGTCTTTGTGGTTGGGTTTTTTTAAATGTTACATCCATGTGGTTTCATTTTTTTTCATAAGTTCGGTATATGTGACTACAGTTATTTAATGAGTTTGGTCCTTAAATATATCAATGACCTGGATCGTGTTAACCCAATATATATATATATATATATATATATATATGATGTTAACTTTGTGAACCAATACCAGCATTTAATTTTTATAATCTATGGATGAAATTCAACATGACATTTTTGTAATAAATTAAAAAATGATGCTTAATAAACATATGTGGACAATCATGAACAAAGGGTAATTTTGGAAGAAAAAAAAAAGTAGGGAGGTTTCTTTTAGCATTAATTACTTTCCCGGTAATTACTCCATCATTTTGAAACCAACATCAAGCTTTAATTATTCCTTCATTTATTAATATGTAAGGTTGTGACTTATGTGTGAATTAATGAACAATTGTTATATATGAGTAGCTTATAAACATTGTTCACCAATGAAAATTTAACATATATGAAAATGTTCATTAGTGAACACATACCTGAATGTGTACGTATGTGAGAGTGGTGAACAATGTTCACCATGGACAAGGAACAATGTTAACTCCATCGTAATATGTTAAACACACATAAAAATTTCATTTGTGAATGACATCCATCATAATATGTTAAACACATATACAAATTTGAAAAGAGCCAAATTTTAGAAATAATGCAACTCCCATATTTTATAAATATATTCTTATTAATTTGCCTTCACTTATTAAATATTTAATAAATTATTAATCATGAACGAATATGGGTTCTTATTGGACCATTTTAGTTTGTATAGTTAACACAAAAGGTAATGTTAACAAAACTTAGGTTAAAAACAATTTTTTCTTTAACTTTCTACCAGTCCCCCTAGTAATTTCCAACCTGTACCACCCTAACAAAAGAGTTACCTTGAAATCAACCAAAAAAAACAAAAAAACATCTCGAAATCAACAACAAAAATAGAAGAAGTCCGTCTAAAAGAGATAAAGAACTTAAAAATCTCTTGAAATCAATCAAAAAACTTTAAAAATCCCTTGAAACGATGGAATTAAGCTAAAAACACACCAGACAACTTTGTGGGCCTTTAATCTACCTTAAAGGTTCCTCCCACTAAGCAAAAATCATGGATCTGCCACTGTGTATGTGTGTTTGAAAAACTAAGAAACACCTTAATAATCATTTATTGTACCGCATACACATTCATACAAACAATCTTTACGGTATGCACAAGTGTATAACATGCATATAAACCAAGAAAACATCTTCAACAGGTGCATAACTTGTATATATGCATAGAAACTAAGAAAACATCTTCAATTACTTGTATGTACATATATATACCTTACAAATGAATGATCATAAGAATGTTTCTTAGTTTTTCATTTTTTAAAGATTTTTCTCTGAACCACTACATCTATATATAGAATAAAATTGGTTGTATATATTGTTACTATGTTTTTAAATAATTGTCAAACCATTAAACCACTTAGGCTATCTTTGGCAAACTAGCTCGTAAGCTAGCTGTTAGTTTCTAAGCTAACTGGTAGCTAATAAGTTAGGTAATGAACAAATATGTTTGACAAAACTAACCGAGAAGAATGTAAAATGATCAAAAGAGACATCTTCAGAAATTTATCACTTATCATATTTCAAAATGTAATCAAAACAAATCTCTAATAATATTAAATATTAACTAATACAAACAATATAGTAAAAAAATTAATATTTTGATCAAAATATTTTCAAGTTGATTATTATATATAT